CCCCGCTCCAGCACTGCCCTGCATGCTGGGACACGCAGATGTCCCTTTGTCCCTGCACTGCCCTACACCAACACTCCGGTGCCCCATCCATGGGGAAGGACAGGGACAGCTGGGGTGACCTGGGCACCATCTGTGGCTGCTCTGTGCCCCAGCCCTGGCACCACCATGACAGCCCCCACTGTCCCCCGTGCTCCTGGGCAGGGATGAGCTCCCCAGCAGAAACAGGACCTGCCTCGGGGCTGGCCGGGGCTGTGGGGAAAGGGGAGGTGGGGATGGGGTGACCTGAGGACACAGAGGTATCTAGTGGCCCCGGGGTGTCTCCAGGGGTCTGGCTTGGCTTGCCCAGGTCAGGGTCCTCAAAGAGGGGCACGGCGTAAATGGCCCCTCGCGACTCGAGCTCCACGGGCGCTCGGGGCAGCTGCAGCTCCTCCAGCTTTTCTGCCACTGTGACAATCTCCTGGAGGAGATTCTCCTCGGGCTCTTGGCCTTGGTATTTTCCTGCAGCCTCAGGGAAAGAGTTTGTCCCTTCTGTGGGCAGAAAGAAAGTGGGATATTACTGCCCTGTCCTGGCTCCGCAGCGCTCAGAGACGAGTGCACCCCACAGCAGGCCTGGAGCCTTGGCACCCCAATAGGGAGCCAGCTCTCCTCAGCCTCCCCTTCCCCTTCTAGATGGGGTCAGCAGGGGGAGGATCAGGCCCTCCCAGGCATTGCCACCAGCCCCAGCAGGAGCTGGCAGTGCCACCAGAGCTGGCAGTGCCACCAGCCCCAACAGGAGCCGTGGGCTCAGCAGCACATGGTGGGGCCAGATCCTAATCCCTGCATTCCCCTCGCTGTGGGGATCCTCCTCTGCACCCCCATCCCCACCCCGGGGAGGGCAGACATGCATGGGGGGTTAGTGGGTTACAGGGGTTGTGGAGTCATGGCACGGGTCAATCCTGCCTAAGCCAGAGAGATGGGGAAACTGAGGCCCAGAGATCCTCAGCATCCCCACACTGGGAGCCCCCACGGCCCTGAGCAGACACACAGAGATGTGGGGTCAGGCAGGAGGAGTGCAGGGACAGCTCTGATCCTTCTGTGCCCCTTATCCCTGCCAGCCTGTGTCCTGCCTCACTGCTCACCTGGCTGCTCCCCACAGGTCTCCTTGCTGCCCAGCACCACCCCAAACCAGCCTGGCAGGCTGTGCCCCACAGCCCCAGGGCCCAGGAGTGCCCTCCAGGCCTGCAGCCCTGGGGGATGAACCCTCCTGGAGCTGTGCCCACAGAGCCCACGCAGAGTGATGGTGCCATGCAGGACACCCCTGGTCTGTCACAGTGAACTGGCACCAAGGACATGCAGGGCCTCCCTCCTCTGCCACAGCGTGTCTGCATGCACTGCTGGGACCCTGCAGAGCATCCCTGCTGCATTGAGAGCTGTCAGCATGCACTGCTGGGATCCTCAGAGCATCTCTGCAGTGTTGAGAGCCGTCAGCATGCACTTCTGGAACCCTCAGAGCATCCCTGCCCTATGGAGAGGGGCCAGCATGCAGTGTCAGGACTGTGCAGAGCATCCCTGCCCTATGAAGAGGGGTGAGCATGCAATTCTGGGACCCTCAGAGTATTCCTGCAGTACTGAGAGCTGTCAGCATGCACTGCTGGAGCCATGCAGAGCATGCCTGCCTTACTGAGAGGGGTCAGCATGCAATTCTGGGACCCTGCAGAGTATCCCTACCCTATAAAGAACTGTCAGCACACAATGTCAGGAGCCTGCAGAGCATCCCTGCCCTATGGAGAGCTGTCACCCTGCAGAGCATCCCTGCCCTATGGAGAGCTGTCACATGCATTGCTGGGACCCTCAGAGGATCCCTGCAGTATTGAGAAGTGTCAGCATGCACTGCTGGGACCCTGCAGAGCATCCCTGTCCTACTGAGAGCTGTCAGCATGCATTGCTGGGATCCTCAGAGCATCCCTGCAGTGTTGAGAGGTGTCAGCATGCACTGCTGGGACCCTGCAGAGCATCCCTGCAGTACTGAGAGCTGTCACAACACAGTGTCTGGACTCTGCAGAGCATCCCTGCCCTATGGAGAGGGGTCAGCATGCAATTCTGGGACCCTCAGAGTATTCCTGCAGTACTGAGAGCTGTCAACATGCACTGCTGGGACCCTGCAGAGCATCCCTGCTGTACCAAGAGCTGTCAGCATGCACTGCTGGGATCCTCAGAGCATCCCTGCCCTATGGAGAGCTGTCACATGCAGTGTCAGAACCCTGCAGATCATCCCTGCCCTACTGAGAAGTGTTACCATGCACTGCTGGGACCCTGCAGAGCATCCCTGCTGTACTGAGAGCTGTCAGCATGCAATTCTGGGACCCTGCAGAGCACCCCTGCCCTATGGAGAGGGGTCAGCATGCAATTCTGGGACCCTCAGAGCATCCCTGCCCTACGGAGAGCTGTCACATGCAGTGTCAGGACCGTGCAGAGCATCGAGGTGTCAGCATGCAGTGTCAGGACATGCAGGTTACGCCTCCCCTCTCAGCTCTACCAGCATGCAGGGCACCCCTGTCCTAGCACAGCAGCTTCAGCCGGCACCAAACACCCCTGCCCTGCCCCGACAGCGCAGCAGCAGCACCGAGAGCACCCAGGGACCCCAGCACAACCCCGGCACATGCAGCCCAACCCGGGGAACCCTCCCACCGATCCCTGCCGGGGGTGCCCCTGTTTACCTCGGAAGCAGTACGCATCGTATCTGCTCTGGGCATCGGGGAATCCCGTCTGGTTTCGGAAGAGGAAGATGGTTTTGACGCCGGGCAGGGCCCCTCCGCAGCGCTCGCGGGGGGTGACGATGGGGTAGCGG